TTGCCAGAAGGGTTGGCTCTCTTTCCAGCCAGGAGCCTACTATTCCCAATTACCAAACTCCAGGAGCCTCCTTTGCCGCTGAATTGGAGATGATGCCCTGGCGAAGCAGATGGTGCCACTTATATCTCTGTACCGAGCCATTCCCTTTGGATACTACTGCCATCCTTGCTTTGAACCCTGCAGTTATTTAAAAATAAAACGTTCTCCCTTGAGCTGGGGTTGCCTTTATTTGTCAAGGGGCATCTTGCACACCCAGAAAAGCCCATTGCTCCACAGCTGAAAGGAAAACGGAGCAAGCAGAGCCGAGCTGATTCCTGATATCGGTGGCAACCCAGAGTTAAGGGGTGTCCTGTCCTCTGGTTTACTAGGATATTCCCAAGATCCTCCCCAGGATGCTCTTGCCGTGGCGAGCGGCAAACCCAAGGAGAGCCCTGCAGTTTGCCTGCCCATGTTCTCCCAAAGAAGCCATCTCTGGGGATTCTAAACTACGAATTTCACCCCACGAGCTGCCTGCAGCCAAGTCACATCCTCTACAAAATGGATACCAGGGAAAACGGACAACATGTGTGCCGTTACTGCGGCTCAACGCGGCTTTTCTCCCCGATCCAGCCAAGACAACGGCACATTTTTAACAGTTTCAGGATGTTAAATTGGAGCCTGGCAGACAAAGGCAGAGAGGAGGCCTATGATTCACACACAAATGCAGCTGCTCCAGCGCTGCACCCAAGCACTAAGATCACAGCTGTCTCCCAAGAAAAATGACCTTTTCAATTTCTTCTCTTATTTGAATCGAACCCGCTAGGCTGATGAGGGTTTTACATATCCGACCTGATTGCAATTCTGATCTCTGCACAAGTTCCACAGAGGGCTCTTTTATTGCAGAAACAGCTTTTTGTTTGATAAAGCAGCGTCCTCTGCCATTACCATATTAATTTACCTAAACACACAATGGGATGGCTGATTTTTTGCAGCCAGCCTAGATTATTTCTATTATAAGAGCAGCACTCGGCGCCAAGAGTTGCTACCACAATAGCAGGCAGCCTGGAAATCCATGCGGAGAGGGACCACCTCCTTCCCACCCCCTGGAAGCTGCTCCTCAAACTGCAACAGTCAAAAGCAAGTCCACAAAAAATAAAATCCCATCCAAGGTTTTGGCCAGCGCCTCATCTGCCGAGCGCTCTGGTATAACCACACTGGGGAAGCTAACGTGGGAAAGCATATTTTGTTTTAATTTAGCTGCTTTTCAGCTCAAGCACTCATTTCTGGGTGGTGTGAGCTCCATATGGTTCTTTGCACGTCCCTCCTGCCAGGCAGGCCCTGTTCGCACAGGGGCAGCGCGTCCGGAGCAGCCTTGGCTCCGGCGAGCGGTTCCCAAACCGGCACGGATGCAGGAGATTAAGTATCTCCCGCCTGTTACATCTGCCCAGGCTTGGCACGCAGCCTGGGACAGGCCATGAGCGGCCGCGAGGAGGACGTGATGGAGAGGGTGTTTAATCACACGCCGTAATCTCCTCGCCCCGCATCTGGTCGAGGCAGCGGCTGCGCTTCCGCTCGCCGGCCGACGGGAAGCGGCCGTGATTAACACAAACATGTTTGGGTTCAGGAGGATCCTCTGTTCCCAGGGTCGGCGATGGGCTCTCCGCAGGCCGCTTGCTTTAGCCACGGGCACCGCGATGCTTGGAGGTCCTTTGCGCTCCCGCAGCGCCTGCTGACGAGGGTGAAGAGTTTCCCAAGGGCCTGCGAGCATCCTGGGCACCTCCAAGCCTTGCAGGGGATGCTGCAGCTGCAGAGCACTCTGCACATATTTTGACTCCACCCTCCACTAAAAGACAAAAAGCCACCAAACACAAAACTGTCCTTCAAGGCTCAGCCCACATATCAAGGAGAAGGGATAAAAAAAAACCAAAACACAAAGACCCAACACGTCTTTGCCAGGCTCCCCGTCCCTCAGGCTGCTGTTTGTTGCCGTTTCAGCCCAGACAAAGGCCGCGGGGATGCAAACATCAGGTGGCAGAGCCGGCTCCGCGGGCAAATCCGTGTGCCCGGCTCTGCGCTAGGAGCAGAGATGAAGCCGTTCACTGACTAAGCACCACGAAGGAGGGGGGAAAGAAACAGCCCCCACATCCAACAGGCAATCCGTGAGGCTGCCATGGTGCGGCTCGGGGGCGGCTCCGAGCACGGTCCGGCCCCAGCTCTCCATGTGCCGGTTAATTAAATCCCGGTGCAGCTGCGTCCCCGAGGACGCGGCCTTCCCGCCGATCGCGCACGGGATGGGGGGTTTCTCCGCGCGCCCCTGCAAGGCTCGTGCCGAGGTCAAAGCTACGGCACGGCCACGCGGTGCCCGGCGGGACGCGGCGCGGAGGCGGCCGCTCCGCTGCTTCCTGCCCTCGGGAACGCCGCGCGGGCCGAGTCTGACCCCGCCGCAACGGCACCGCGGGGCCGGCCCCGCTGCGCTGCGTAATTAAAGAGCTGCAATTCCTGGCTAATGGGAAGGCACCCGCAGCCCTGCTCCCTGCGGCAGGTCTGCGGCTTGCGGAGCCGCGCTGACCTCGGCTAGAGGGGATGCAGAACGAGCCAAACGAGCGCAGTTTTAAGCGGAGATTAACTCTCACGAGCAAACCCCTTCAGGCCCGTTCCTGCGATTTCTTACTTCAAGCTTGGGCTAAACAGACGCAGTCCCGTTCAACCCATTTTGGTGGGAGAACCCTTTTGTTTGTGCGTTTTACAGAAAGGCACCGAGATGCAACGCAGGGAAAGGGGACCCCAGGGCCAGCCCGCTCCATCCGCAGCGAAAGGCACTGCGGCGGCGCGAGGGGCCAGCGCGGGGCTCCGGGCCAGCTGGCAGGAAAGCGGCGCTCGCTCCGGCGCTTCCCGGCCCTCGGGAAGCGGCCGTTCCCCGGGCAGCGCTGCCGCTCAGCGGCCGCCGGGCTCAGCGCACCCCTTCCCGCCCCAAGGAGGGCCCGAGCCCCGGGAAGCCCAGGAAAACCAAAGGAAAACCTCACTCATCGCGGGAATGGAGCAAGGACGCGGCCCCGCTTTAGCCTCCAAGATGTGTCTGTATGGAAACACAAGTGCAGATCTGCAAGGGGTGAAGAGTTAAAACTAGATAAGGAAGATTCACGTTCATATCTGACACTTATCAAAAAGGCTGGTTAAAGTTTTCACTGCCAGGTATTAAAGCTAGTTACTAAAAACATGAGCCTGACCAACAATTCCTCTTTTTTACATGCCAATTTTGTTAAATTGAGCCTATTGTACTCCCTGCCTACCTCCTTGATGCTGGAAACCTGCAATATCCATTTGCTTTCAGAAACAGTGAGGGAAAAAACCTGCAAGAGGCAATGGGGCAGGTCCCACGAAGGTTTGGGCCAC